GTCTCTGGAGGTCTCTGTTTCTTGCCATGTGCTGCTTTACCCCACTTCGGGCTCTGTCTGCAAGGAGAATATCTCTAGATGTGGCCCTTCCACCTTCCACAGATACGTGATCCCATGGAATCCTGTTTCTTGATATCTTACCTGAGCTTGGCATGGTGTCAATGTCAAGAGCAGAAGGATAGGGCAGAGTAACCTGCACCGCCAGTGTGGAGGCCTCTGAGTGGTTCCAACATCCGACGTCAGTGCCCTACAGCCAGGGTTGGAATGTGGAAATCTCTGCATCAGAAGTAAGTTCAGCTCCAAGCAGAGGCTGTTTTCATGTCACTGAGCAGCCAGCCTGGGAGTCAGTCTGCAGTATCCCAGTCTGGTCTGGACTTATCAATCTAATCAAAGGAGCCAGGCAGTAGACATGAGATAAGCAGTTGACAAAATCCCCTGACTACGTGAGTGTGGCAGAGTTGGAGGCCCCACATGGTCCAAGAAGATGTGGCCCAGCTGTATGACTCAGGGAGGATCTGTCCACCCATCTTTACACCGCTGACAGTCTGCGGGCATGGGACATAGTAAGTTACTTTAGTCCTGGGGATTTTCAGAACTCATCCTAGAGATGAGGAAGTAAACCATAACGCACACAGTTAAAAGTCTCTTCTACAACTCAACAGTGAAAAACCCAATAATCCAATTAAAAAGCAAGTAGAAGCATTTATGTAGGCAACTCCGAGGGAAAGACACTCAGGTTGGCAAGCACAGGATGTGAGGCTGAATAGCAACTCCCCAGAGAGGAACAGCTCACAGCCACAGTGAGACATCACATGACACCCAGTAGAGTGGCTGAATCAGCAGAGCATAGAGGTGACCGAAATAGGTGGTGTCTTTAAATTGAAAAGAAAAACTTCAGTGAAAGACACAGTGTCGGGAATGATGGCACACGTGTGTTCTATGTGACTGGGAGTATTCTGAAAATCTTGAGGGGGATCAAAGGCAATGTATCTCTAACTGTCGTAAATTTTTAATTTAAAGATTTGTCATAGTTTTTCATCAGCCCACTACATTCCTGATAGGAATGTAAAATTATACAGTAGCTTTGCCAAAATAGCTACGTTTTCAAAAAGTTAAGTTAAATACAGTTACTGTATGGCCCAGAAATTCTATCCGTAGGGTTATATCCAAGATAAGTAGAAGAAAACACGTTTACATGTAAAATTATACAAGAATGATTCATAGCAGCATAATTCACAGTTGAAGATGGAAACCATCGAAATGTGTGGCAATTGATAAAGAAATATAATGAACACACACCCAATATTACTATGAATATTCTTTCTCCATAAAATCAGCAATGGATAAACACTGTTGACACAGCAAGGATGAAAGTGAAAGCATTAGATCAGCAAAAGAAAGCAGTCCCTAAAGACCACACACTGGATGATCCCGCTTATGGGAGCTGCTCACCGTAGACAAATCCACAGACACAGAGCATGGATCGGTGTTTGTCAGGCCTGGAAGGCAAAGGCAGGAGGTCATGTGGGACATCTGCTCCTGGACCCACATCCCATCTCTGTTGGAGGCCATGACAGTGTTGTACAGGGAGGTAGTGGTGACAGTTGTTCAGCTGCATGAATACAGTAAAAGCCACTGAACTGTGAGCTTCAAAGAAATGAATGTCATTAAAGCAGAATTTTGAGACCAAGAGCTCCTTGAGATAAGTGAGTTCCTTTAGCTCTTATACTACTAGCAAAAAGTAAAACGAGTGGTCTGGGTAAATTGACTGAGCCACCTACACATGGCCAAGGAGCAGCTGGTAAAACCCCCACCTCTTTTGTTGTCACTGTTGTTTTCTTTTTTTTTTTTTTTTTTTTGGTTTTTCTCCGGTACCGGGAACCGAACTCACGACCTTGCACTTGCCAGGCAGGCGCTTTGCCGCTGAGCTAAATCCCCAGCCCCACTGTTGTTTTCTTGAGACAAGGTCTTGCTGTGTATTCTAGGCTGGGCTTGAACCCACAGTGTAGCACTGTCTGCCCTGGAACTCACGGTGACCCTGCTCCCTCAGCTTCTGCAGTGCCCCCTCAACCAATTTTTGAAAAATGTCCTCCGGTTTTAAGGAGTCAGAGATTTTATCCTGGAAACTGTGAGAGAAAAAGCCATAAATGATTTACTTGCACTGCCCCGACACTGGCTGGAGATGAGGGAGCACAGAGCAAAGCCAGCCCAGGCCGGGCTCTCCATGCGGAAAGGTTTGCTGGTTGGTTTGAGCTGCACAGGAGGAGACACGGCCCGGCGGTCCATCTTCAGTGTGTGAGGCGAGGAGGCAGAAAAGTTGTTGTTTTCCTGGCTGGCTTAGCTGGAGGCTGTCGGTTAATATAAACTCTTATCTTTTCCGTCCCCTCTTCCTGCAGGGACCTAACTCTGGAGCTTCAGGATTCTTCTCTTATCAGCATTATGTTGTGTATGTTCTCTTTCAGTGAAGTTTTTCTTTTTTTTTTTTTTTTTCTGTGAAGCGAGGCAAAAACGTAAGGATCCCGGCCTTTCAGGGAGTGGGGACCTTCCCAGACAGGGCTGGCACCGAGGGGGTTCCTTTACAAGACCCAGCAGGCCTCACCCCAAGTCAGAGCTCAGGAGATGCCAGGCCTCTGGAGAAACTTCAAAGAGGACGGAGAAGCCTTGGGAAAAGCTCCCTGCTGCCCAGAAAGCTGCCCGCATCCCGTGTTCCTCTGGACATCGCCAGGGACACTTTCACTGGGCTCAGGTCTGAGACTGAGCTGTAGCACAGAGGGTGGGGCTCACAGGGGTCTCGGGTGCCTCCAGGAACTCGCCTGCTGACAAAGGACAAAGTCACTGTCCTGAACCCGTTCCTCTGCATGTCTGCCCCGGGCTGGAAGAGCAGGGCACACAGCAGCCCTCAGGCCCAGGCCCGGGTCAGAGGAGCTGTACCTGCGCTCTGTGTGGGTCTTTGGCAAGAACCAGCCCAAGTGTGTGGGCGCCGCACTGGGCAAACACTTTGACTTCATCTCCAGGGCTCCTTTGTGTAAAAGGGGACCGACCTCCCCAGGGAAGTCTCAGCTTCTCATTCCCCTGTGGCTTCCTGGAATGAGGCGAGCCCAGGCTCCTAGCTGTCTTCTGTCCTCGTTTTGTGTTTGTTGTTTGGTTTTCAGTAAGGGCTGTAGTGGGGATTGAACCCAGGACCTTTCTACATCCTCAGTCCCCCCACCTTTTTAAAAATTTGAGATGATGTACAAGGATAGCTGGGATAGGTGTATTGCTGTTGTCTGTGATTTATTGAAAGGAACAGTCAGGCTTGAAATTTTCTTTCTTCTTGACCAATTTTGCACACTTGAAACTTGTAATCAGAACAACTGATCTGCAAACAACAAAATGCAGCATAAGAGCCATTGCGGAACTCCTACCATCTTGTATGGTGAAGTTCTGCATCATATCCAATGTTTTTCTCCATTACTTGTTACTGTCTTTGTTTAATCAGTCTTGCATTCTTACCTCTGGTGGACTGAGCAACTTCGTTGACGATAACAGTATGTAGTATAGCAACCACTGTTAGTTCCTATCATTTTGTTTTGAGGTCAGGTATCATTTTTTTGTTGTTTTTGTGTTGTTTTGATTTTGTCTTCATTGCTGTTTTGTTAGTTTTTTTAATCTTTAAAATAAAAAAAAATTTAAAAACAAGAAAATGGGAAAAAAGAATTGAGACGAATTCTCCCAAAATTTCCAGGCTGAGCTCCAAGTCACCATCCTCTTGCCTCAGCCAGTGCTGGGGTACCAAACATGCTACCCTCCTGATTCTGGTCCTTCAGCTTCCCCTGATCTGCTTCTACTTTCACAGTTTAATTCTTTGCAGAGCAAGGGCTGCAGTGCTCTGTGGCAACAAGGACGTTAGCACCTCCTCTGCCCCGCGGGGGTCCTCTGGCCCAGGGGACACGCCTCTGGCAGCAGGTGTGGACAGGAAAACAGGACTGGACAGCCCCCATCCCTACGGCCGGAAATACGCAGCCAGGGCTACAAAAGCCCCAGGGTCCTGGCCAGCCCCGAGCAGAGCACCGGCTTGCAGTCCTGAGATCCTTCAGGTGGGGTCCAGGCTCCAGTGGCGCGGCGCAGCGTGGAAAGGTGAGGCCGGGATGTGGCAGGTTGGGTGGGGCCTGACCAGGTTCCGACGCGGGGACGGAGCAGGACGCGGAGACAACCTGGCTCACAGAGATCAGGGCACGGGGAGAGGCGGGCGCAATGAGAGAGCCGGGCACGCGGAGAGACCGGGGCGGGGCCAGATGGCTCCTGCAGCTGCAGCTGTGGAGCTGAGGGGCGCAGGTGGTCTTACTCCCTGCAGCTGTCCTGGCCACGGCCCTCGACCCGTCTTCCCTACAGCAGCCCCGCCCCGCTTCCTCCTGTCCACGTTGGTCCGGGTCCAATCCCAGTCTCCCTCAGCACCGAGCACCCCTGCCCATCCCGTCTTTCCTGCCCCTCACCCCCAGGACACAGAAGCCTTCTTTCTCCTGAGCCCCGACCCTGTGGGACTCAGTTCCTGTCCCCACATCCTGCAGGCGGGGCGCAGTCCCTGGGAGAGGCTGCACGCAGCGGGGAGGGCGGCTTTGGACGGGACGGAGGGAGGGAGGCGGCCTGGGCGGCCCTGAGATGCGGGGTGAGGGAGAGCGCCCACGCCAGGGCGCAGGGGCCTTCAGAGTGGCCAGAGCCATGGGACCAGGAGGGGCGCAGAGAACCACGGGAGCAGGGAAGGGGGCGGTGTTCAGCCCTGGAGTAGAGCAATGGTGTGCAGGGAGCTGCGCTGATTTGCATGGAGGTGAGGACAGGCAGGGGACACAGGCACCACAGTGGCAGGGACTGCAGGGGTCTGGGGAGGAGCCTGAGGTGTAGACAGGACCCCGGGTCTGAGTGGGAGGTGGAGAGAGATTGGGGGAGGGGCACAGGTGGGGCCGTGGGAGTGGGTGGGGGAAGAGCGCTGAAGGGAAGGGTCAGGGCGGTCCCCCAAGTGCCTGGGACCAGCGACGGGAGCACCCGGCTTCTGAGGGAAACCTCAGTTCCTTAGAGAAAGTGAAAGCAAACAGGAGAAGCAATAGTGTTCTCTCCCAGAGTCCAGGGTTTCGGTCACATGATTTCCGGAGCAGGACAGGATGGGGAGGAACTCTGAGCTGGATGCAGGCAGCCCACCCTCAGGGACACAGGCTGCAGGGCAGGAGAGACAGCTGGCGCTCTCAGCTGGCCGGAGCCTGAGCTGTCCCTGCAGCAGAAGGCTCTGGCCTCACAGCGGATTGGACCTCAGCCTGCCTCAGGCAGCAGCTCTTATTTTGGGCGTTCATGGCCTGGTGCACAGCTGAAAATCACACAGGGATTCCCACACACAGAGGCGAGAATAAGCACAGGAGGGATGCTGAGGCCGGGCTAGAGGTCCTCCCTGCTCCTCACTCTGGGTCTCCTCTCTGTGCCTCCTCTTCCCCCACCCCTTCTTCCTCCTCTTCACCCCTGACTCAGTCCTGCTCCTGGAAGGGAGGAGGTGGTCGTTATGCGGAAGGAGCGGAGTTCACCTGGCCCAGCCGTGTCCTGTGTGAGTTCCCGCCCTCGCATCTGTCTGTGTCCTTGTGCAGATGAGAGTGTCTGTGGTTTCCCTGAGGCCCGCAGGCTGCTCTGGGCTGCTGCCCTCATCACAGCTGGCTAATTCCCCTACAATCGGGGCATATTTTTGGAAACAGAGTGGCAATACATGGACTTTTTTGGGTCCAACTTGAAATATTTGGAAGCTTTGCGATGACAAACAAAACTACACTATACACGGTATATTGTACCCTCAGGTGAGTGACATGACGTGGCCCTTTGGTCTTTGCCTCTAGACTTCATCATGAACTCCCTGTCGGAAGCTAATGACGCCTTTGCCATCCGCCTTTTAAAGGTTCTCGGTCAGAAGTACCCTGCGTGCAATGTCTTCTACTCTCCCTTGAGCCTCTCCTCGTCCTTGGCCAGAGCCCTGCTGGGGGCCAAGGGTAAAACGGCGGCGGAGATCATTCAGGTAGGCTGGGCTCTGCCCCTGCTTCTTGCATGACAGGAGGTTTTATGGTTTTCTGTGATGGTTGTGAGAGGTAGGGGACCTTCCCCAAGTAATAACCTAGAAAGTACACAAAATTTTACCTGGCACTTTATTTAGAAAATGAGCTGAGGCTGGGGTGGTGCTGTGGTGAGCACTGCCTCCTGCTTGATCCCCAGCACCACAGAGGGGTAAAGAAAAGAAAAGGATGCTGGAATTATTTGAATCATAAGTCCCTGAGCTCTGTCTCCTTCTGGCGCACAATACTTTGCAGCTGTAATTATTCTTTGGTGTCTTGCTGTCTCAGTGAGGGGACAAACAGAACAAGACTGGGCGGGGGCAGAAAGGAGGCTTCGATCCCTCTAGGGAGCCTGGAGGCTGCAGTGGGTGCTGTGGGCCTCACTAGGGCTCATCTGCAAGAGCTTAGGCCCTGTCCCTGCCCCTAGGGGGTCACAGGGCGGGCAGGAGACAGGTGCTGAGAAAACCCAGAAGGCCGCTCCCTGGCACCTGCTGGCCCTGCGTGGAGCTCTGCACAGGGCGTGCTCTGCTCCATCATGTGGGTCTCAGGGTGACCCGCACTCCCCGGAGGACCCTCTCAGTAATGAGAGCTCTTTTTCCCCTGTTCCCTGCTCCCTGTGGGAGGTCCTAAAGCAGATGCCCAGGGGGCAATTCCTACTGGTGGTTCTTAGGGTCCTCGAGGTTCTGAGCTCCCTGAGGATCTCTGTGAGGGAGCCTCTTCCCACTTGTCTGGCAGCTGCAGGGGCGCCAGGCTGGGCTCCCTGACTAGCGCCCAGCGGACCCCGGGTGCTCAGGAGCTGGTCTCACACTGGGGTCTCACACAGTGCTGGGCTGCCGCAACACTAGGGCTGCAGGAGGATTTCTAAACATGATTTGATTTTTCATGTTGCCAAAAGCTTTAACAATTCCAGCGAAGGAAGGAAATGTGCCTATGGAATCTGCCTGCAGAGACAAACGTGTGAGCATGAAAAGCATTTTCGTCCAGTCGCGGTCCCATGTTGCTTGGAGGTTTAACACATTGATTATGAACTGTGTCCTTGCTTCTACGAATGTTCTCCCAGTTCCTGCCGGGATTAGGTGAGGTGATTCCTATAAACACGTGCTTGACGGAGTTAGCTCCCAGCGATCTCAGCGATGCCTCAGTTTTCAGTGAAACTGGCTTAACTCTCACTTTTCTTTCTTACATTTTTCTTGTGGTAAAATTCATACAAAATTTACCATTAGAACCATATTTTAAGCTTGCAGTTCAGTGGCATTTGTTCAGTTTTTTATATTTTCTTACCAGTCATCTTTAAGCTTTATCAAATCATTTTGAAGCCTTAAAACTTTTCCTATTATGGAACAGTATTATTAGGAATAAAATTCTTGAATATTACAAGTAATTCTTTTAAAGAACACCTATCTCTTTTCAGAAGCAGTTCTCTGTAACTTTTCTGGTTCTTTCATTGTCATGGATAGTGGCACATCCTCTTTTTTCTAGGTTTTAAAAAAGATTAAATGCATTTTTAATTGATACATAAAAGCCTAAGAATTATAGGTATTTGTGGATTAACTGATGTTTTGATGCCTGTAGAGTTAATTGTGTAATGTTTGAATCAGGGTTAGTACACATGTCTGCATGGAACCATTATTTATTTAGAATAGAATAGCACTGTGATTGTACAGTGGTACCTGTGATTGTACAGGTACAGGAGTTATTGACTTAGAAAAGAGGTTTTTTTTTTCTTTTAAGTACTCCACAGTGATGGTAGAGCCTTGACACTGAGCCATCCCCATGAAAAATTGTTTATTCTCAGCCTTTTAAAAATTGTTTGAAAACCTTTCTAAATTACCTGATTGATCAGGTTGGGTTTGCTCTTTAGATCCTCCTGCCTCATCCTTTCAGAGTTCTGAGACTATCGGTGTCTGCCCCCATTCCAGGCATAAGCAAGTGTTTATAATAATTACACAGAAGGGTAATTTCTGTGTTATTGGTATTTTATTTGTGGTTTTGATTTCTCTTGTAATACGTTAATGTCAGAGCCTAAAACCGTACAGTTGCTTTCTCTGCACTATGACATAGAGCCCAAACTCTTCACATTCAGCAACACCCTCAGCTCTTTTTATTTTGAGACAATCTTGCTTGCTCAGTCCCTAAATTGCCCAGCCCAATCTCAAACTTGCAGTCCTCCTGCCTCAGCTTTCCAGATTGCTGGGACTGCAAGCATGCACTACCATGCTGAACTATAGTCTCTATAAAGTTTGTATTTCAAAATCAATTGAGATTTTTCTACAGCCTAACGGATGTATTTAAAATATTAAAGTAACACTTACAATATGTGTAATAATCTCTCTAGCATACAATTTTAAGAACTATGTCTTAGTCTTGTTAATCCTTTGCTTTTTTTATACCCTTATCTCCTTTTAAGTTTCCCATTGTTCTATTCCTGCACATTTTCCTTGCATTTTTAGTCATTTTAACCATTTATTTCTTTTGAAATGAATTTTGCAGACCAGTTTTCTTCTGTGTCTGGTGTATTCCTGCCCAGCAGGGGATGCAGGCTTTATAACAGCTCCATTCTCAGCTTCTCTGGCCGTTATCATTTTCCTTTTCTCCCCTTGAATCCAGAGCAGGCAGAAGAGCCACACCTTTGACCCCGTGTCCTGTCCTGCTCCAATCTGTGCACTGTGCGTCTTCTGCAGGATGCACTGCTCAAGGAAAAAGTAAAGCGGCCTCGCTGGGTGTGGTGGTGCACGCCTGCAATCCCAGCACTCAGGAGGCTTAGGCAAGAGCATCACTATGAGTTTGACTCCAGCCTGGGCTACTTAGAACCTCACTCAGAAAAATAACAACCCAACCCAAACCAAACCAAACTACAGGACAAGTTCTTTGCAAAGGATTATTTTAGGGAGTACCTGAGAAGTAAATTTGTCTTGCAGACTCTCTGTGAGACCAGAGCACAATACTGACAGTGCTCATTGACTTCCTTCACAGGCGCTGGCGTTAAACACCGAGGACGACATTCACCAGGGCTTCCAGTCGCTGCTCACCCAAGTGCACAAATCAGGCGCTCCATTCACCTTCAACATAGCCAAGAGGCTCTATGCAGACCAGAGCTGCATCTTCCTCCCAGTGAGTTCAATCTCAAAGCAAGAAAAGTTGACTTAAAGGACCTGGTGGCCTAGAGCCCAGGAGGAGGATCCCAAGTACTTCAGCAAAAAACGGGCAACCTTGTTTTTTCAAATGAGGACAGTGCTCTAAGGATGCCTTGCATGATTTCCCACATCAGGGCCTTAGTTCTTTCACTCATGTCCAGTTATTCCAGACTCAGCACATCCCCACCTAGAATCTGGTATTTGACTTCTCCTAGACTCAGTGTGACGGCTTCTAAGAGCCACATGTGCCATGTATAAGTTGTCAAAGGACCAAGTAATACTCAGAGGGCTGGGAAGCTTGCTGACCTTTCGTGCAGCTCCGTGGCCTCACCTGACACATCTCTGTCCACAGTCATTTAAGGAGTCCTGTCCGAAGTTCTACGAAACTGAGCTGGAGCAGCTGTCCTTTATCAAGGAAACAGAGAGGTCCAGGAAACACATCAATGCTTGGGTGTCCACAAAAACGGAAGGTCAGCAATAACGGTTCCTTCTGTTCCAACCCTCTCCCCACCTCTCCTGGTCCTCTCCTCCATGTTTCGGCCTGATCCTCATTCATTTGCAGTTCAGACAGTGACTTCATCCATCCATGACCCCAAGATCAATGATGGCTGGACGTGTGAACCATTCACATACCTGCACTGCACTATGAGCATTTGTGTTTCTGCTAAAAAAAGAGACAGTAGCAAATGGCAGGTAGTTTTCCTTGAAGACTCAGCAATTATTTCCCCCATTTCTTCTGGAATCTTTACCACTTGTGCCCTCCTGAAGCAGCAGTTGGCAAGGGTGCATTAGGTCATGAAAAGGTAGCCCTGGATATCCAGGGGAAGAGGAGAGAGTCCAGCTCGCCCACTTTATCTTCCCCAGGGATGCCTGGAGCTCTGTCTGGGGATCAACAGTGATCTCTCTCCCTGGGCTCCCAGAAGCCCCTCACGTGCCCATCAGCCACTTCCTCCCTTTGGCCCTGTTCTGGCCGCCCCTCACACTGACTCCTCTCTGCCCAGTGTTAGCTCTGGGTGTGAGCACGGAGCCTTAGACCTCACACTGCATTTAACCCCTGAGGGACTGCAGTGCTGCCCAGTGCATCTCTCCTGTCCTGCTTGCTGGACCTCCAAGCTGCCCTTTCTTTCTCATCAGCTGCTCTCCTTGAGTGACTCAGAAGCCTGTCACCTCCTCCATTTGGCGATGTCCCCAAGTGTCCGTGTGCACGAACACCACTACTCGGAGTTGTTTTCAACCATTTCATTCGTAACGATCCTAACTGAGCTAGTTAGAAATCATCACATTGAAATCTGCCAGGATGCCGCCCTAGAGTTTATTCGTCATGTGTTTAAAGGAGCCACTGAATGTAGTCTCTGCTTTTCTCAAAAGGCAAGATTAAGAGTTGTTACCACAGAAGGCAGTTGACGTGGGCACCAGGCTCGTTCTTGTTAATGCTGTGTACTTCAAAGGAAGGTGGGACAAACAGTTTCAGAAGTCACGCACAAAGAAAACGCCTTTCAAAATTAACCAGGTAGGTAGAAGCTTTCAACAAAATAGTTTCCTAGAGAAGTGGAATAAGAGCCGGGCATGGTGGCGCACACCTGTAATCCCAGTACTCGGGAGGCTGAGGCAGGGGGATCATGGTGAGTTCAAGACCAGCCCAGGCCACAAAGTCAGCTCAAGGCCAGTTTGAACTGTATAGTGAGACCCTGTCGCAAAAAAAAGAGAGAGAAGTGGAATAAAAAAATTTAATTTTACCAGGGCATAAGTGGTTAAAAATTCTTTGAAACAATATACTTCTGAATTGACTTTTAAACTCAGGAAAACAAAATTATAGGAGTAAAGAATTTTTGCTACTTATACTTCCTTGCATTAGTGACTGTTCTTCCTGTCTGATCATTTCTCCTGCATCTACTGCTATAACCTCAGTCTGGAAATTGAAGATTTTCCTTAAGTAGTAGTTGCCTAAATAGAAACACACACAAAAAAATGTGTCACGATTTTGTGATATACCCATGGGTCAAGAAAAATGTGAAAACATGTATCTTTAAACAAGTAATTTTAAAATTATTATAATAATTCATTTAATTGTTATTTAATTTAAAAATTATTAATGCAATATTTGAAAATTTCTAACATTAAAACAAAGTGCCATGGAACTAGGTCCTGACATTTTTAATGTCAACTAAAGCAGAGTTAAAATAATTTGTGATGTCTTATAATCCCCTGAAAAACAGAAAACTAATTAGGAAGAAAACATTTGGGATGTTTATACATATTCAACTGCCCCTCCATTTTATTTGTTTTTGTTTTTTGGTTTTTTTTTTTGTTGTTGTTGTTTTTGTTTTTCTTCCGGTACCAGGAATCGAACTCATGACCTTGCGATTGCCAGGCAGGCGCTATGCCACTGAGCTACATTCCTAGCCCCATGCCCCTCCATTTTAAAAGCAGATGCACTTTATATGTGCATTCATTTATGTTTCCATTTGAAATTATGGGGACCTTTCTGAGCCAAGCAACAGCACATGAAACATTCGGAGCTTCCCGTTTTATTTTGCTGGCCAGGATGTCTCCCCAGGCTGCTCCTGCCTCTGCCCACACTCCGTGGCTTTTCATGCCTGTGGGAAGTGTTGGGTGAGGTTTCCCCAGGGGTTACCCGGAGCGCAAACACTGTTTCCATTGTGGGTGCTGTATCGCTCAGGCAGCCCCTTTGGGCAGCTTTCTTGCTCCTTGGAGACTCCGTGTGACATGCGTGCCCCTCTGCTCACCCCGTCAGATGAAGCAGAAGCGGACGCAGATGATGTTCCAGGAAGGCACATTTCCTTGGGCCCACGTGAGCGAGGTGCAGGCCCAGGTGCTGGAGCTGCCCTATGCGGGCCAGGAGCTGAGCATGATCCTGCTGCTCCCGGACAAAGGCGTGGACCTCAGCACGGTGAGACAGGGGTCTGTGTGTGTGTTTGCTGTCTTGCCCAGAGCATCTGGTGACATTCCTGTGTCCTTTCCCACCAGCACTGCACTGGCACACACTCCTGCCAGTGGCCGTCTGTCTGTCCGCCCTCCCTACCTTGGACACTCTTCTCCTAAAGCCACTCACACTCCCACCTTGTCACTGGGGTGAGCAGCTACCTGGGATGCTAAACTCAGCAGCAGAAATGAACTGGAGGGAGAGAGCTGAAGAAAGGAGGACACTTCGTTGGTTATGAGGGAAATGGAGAAGACAGGAAGCTGCCCCAGGCAGGACAGGGAGCCTGGAAGGATTAATGCCTATGCGCCTCTGTCCCTGGCTTCCTTTATGACCTTTTGGGGGATTCTCACCCCTCTGGGACTTGTCACAATTTGATTGGCCCTTGGGCTGTCCTCAGATTACCAGGCACCACTGCCTGTCTGGACCTCCTTTTTAGTGGGCTTTGTGTAACTTCTTTCTCTCTGTTTGTCCTTGCAGGGCCTTATCCAGGGGAAGCGCAGGTGGTTGGTTGGGCGGGGCTTTCTTGGTCAGCTTGGGTCAGTAGGCGATGTGTGTATCTGTTGTAGTAGCACAACGATACTACAGTGAAGAAAATACTTGTGCAAGTCCACAGCTATGGGAACATACTGTACGCTCTGAGCAGGACTTCTCCCTAAAGTGGCCCCCACCCCCACTCCTGCGCACCGTGCTGAGCCGGGAGGACACAGCCCCAGGCCTCGCTGTGCTCCGCCCATCTGCTTTCCCTCCAGTGTCAGTCCCAATGCCATCTGTGCTACCTGTGTCTTTGTGTCTGGTTTTCCTTTTCTCTCATTGCTCGTCCTTGTAACTGTGTCCAAGGGACATCGCTACAAAGCTTTAACTCTTTCTAGTCAGGATTAGCTAGAAAGCCCAATGAGGCCTTCACGCTGTTCTTTCCCTGAGGACAGACCCGTTTCCCTACAGCCTCAGGCCCCTGCCCTGGTGGCTCACAGCCACAGCCCTTTCATTCTTGCTCAGCAGCAATGCTTTGTCCGCTCCGAACTAAGCCTCATTCAAAAAACCAAAAAGCTCAGGAAGCCCAAATCTCGACAAGGCGCAGCCGCCTGGCAGAGACTCTGGTGGGCAGTGGTGGGAGAGGGCCCAGACCTGTTTCCTGCCTCAGGAAGCCACACCTGGGGTGGCATAACAGCTCCTGGGAGCAGGCCAAGCCGGGACCTCACAAGCTTCCAGGCAGCTGCAGGGACAGTGTATGACAGTCAGCACCACATGCTGGCCAGAGGAGGACAGGTTGCCCCTGGGAGGACCACTGGATGGGCACTGCAATCTGATGGTAAAGTCTAATCCCGGTCTTTCAGGTGGAAAAAGCCTTCACTTTTGATAAATTCCGGACCTGGACCAGTCCAGAGCACATGAAGAAGACCAAAATGGAAGTTTACCTTCCAAAATTTAAACTGCAAGGGGATTACAACATGCGATATGAGCTGCAGGATGTGGGTTTGGTGGATCTCTTTGATTGCCAACAACCGGATCTCTCTGGGATGTTTTGGAGGTTTCCCCACGGTGACCAGTGCCTGTCACTGCTCCAGCACAAGACTGTGCTGGAGGTCAGTGAGGAAGGCACGGAGGCGACAGCATCAGCTTGTGAGATTGAAGGGAGTTGCGCGAGGAGTTTGCCGGTGTTCCGTGCTGACCACCCCTTCCTGTTCTTCATCAGGCACAACAGCACCAACTGCCTGCTGTTCTGTGGCAGGATCTTGTCTCCAGGAGGGGTGCGCTCCCTGTGCACGCAAGCACTTCCCTCTTTTCCCCCACACCCCATCCAAACTCCGTGAAGTTGGCTCATTAGAAAAGCCAAGTGCAACCCTAGGGCAGATTGGCACACATCTGCACCACCTGTCAGCATAGCGCACCACGTACGTGCTCTTCTCTGCCCACACTGCCACTGACTTTGCCATTTGACCAGGATCTCAGGACAGCAGATCACCATGTTCAATGCAGGGTGCAGAACAGATCCCGGAGTGGAGCCCGCAGTTTTCCTGGAAGGTCACAAACACCTCTCACACTCACTATGTGAGCTTCTTACTGTGCTCACAGCGTGCCTCCTAGAACCTCCAACCCCGTCACACACGTGCCTTAACCGCACCTTGTACATCGTAATCCATGCCACTGGATATTACTATTCCTGTGACAGTTTTCATGGTGACTGGACTTTTTAAAGAAGTGCACAGTTGAACTGTATTTTGTTGGACATTTACTGTTCACCAGGTCTGTGCAAAACACTGCATTCGGCCGGGGACATTCGCACTTCTTCAGCAGCTGCTCTTTATGGTCTGTGCCCAGCTCACAGCTTTCATGGCCAGGAGGTTGCACTCTTTAATCGCTTCAGCCCTGTAGGGATGATGAGTTTATTCATGTGATGTGAGTTCTCCATCTCTAGCTGTAGCAGTTAAATTCATTCAACACTGAAAATTTTTTTCAGACGTCATCTTCTTCAAGGAAATTTTTCTTTTCTCCAGAACCTGATGTCTTTGAACTCAAACTGCAACCGTTCATGGTGGGTGCTGTATTTATAATCTTTTGTCCTCTTAGGAAGTCCCACACTTCGAAAGGAATTACTGGGTTATATAGTAACTATAGAGTCCCTGGGATTCAGATTCCATCTCACCTATCTGTGTGTCGCTTATACTACAGTAATAACTTCCTCATCGTATACAAGCTCTAAATGCTTTCAGTGGTCAGATATCAGCAACTGCATTGTGCTTCTTCAAGATCTCATTGTTTCTGACATTCACATAACAAAGTTAGCCGTCTTAGTGCATTACAGTGTATCATGTAACCACCACCTTTATCCAGTTCCAAGAAGTTTTCATTGTCCCGAAAGGAAGCTGTGCCCACTAAGCAGGGAATCCACATTTGTTGCTCCCTGCAGCCCTGGGCATCACCATTCTGCTTTCTCTATGTCGATTTACCTACTCTGAACATTTCATATAAACTGAAGCATATGTATGACCGTTTGTGTCTGGCTTCTTCTCTTTAGTATTTTCTAGGTGCATTTGTCACTGTAGCATGTATTTGTTTATTCCCAATATGACTGCATAACAGTCTTCTACAGAAATTACCATTATTCAAAAAAAAAAAAAAGAAATTACCATTATTCATTTACTCATTCATCCATCTGTTTTTTTCACTCATTCAGGTATATGTAAATACTGCTGCTGTTCATCTGCATGCACGTGTATTGGTTCTGACACCTGGTCTCCCTTCCTTTGCGTGTGAACTCATGTATAAAGGAAAGGAACTACTGGGTTATATAGTAACTATATTTAGCTCTGTAGGGAAATGCCAAACTTGCTTTCCACAGCGGCTGAACCATGTAACATTCCCACCAGGAAGGTATGAGATTCCAACTTCCCTGAGCATTTCTTTTCTACGTATGACCATCCTGAGGGGAGGAGGGGTAACGTGGTGGTTTTGATCTGCAGATGTGCAATGACTGCTGACATGGAGCATCTTTTCAGGAGCTCATTGCCCTTTGCATTCTTTGTTTAGAAAAATGTCTATGCAAGCCTTTTGCCCATTTTTTATTGGATTGTCTTTTTCTTGCTGTTAAAATAGTTCATTCCATGTTCTGGTTGTAGATGCCTATCAGATAGATGAGTTGCAAATACTTTCTCACATCTTTAACCTGCCCTTTCACTTTAATAATGCTCTTTGAGGCATAAAACTTTTAACTTCAAAATGTCCAGCATATCTAGCTTTACTATATCTTGTGCATGCTATTGGAGTCACATTTTAATAATCCCATGGCCAGTGTCAGGAGCATGAAGATTTGCCTCTGTGTGTTTTCTTCTAAGACTTTTCTGGATTTAGCTCTTATATTTAGTTGTCGACCTATTTTGAATTAGTTTCTGTACGTAGAGCAAGGTACACATCCAATTGAGTTCTTTTACATTTGAATATCCACTTGCCCTAGTACCTCTGTTTCTGAATTGGAAAAAAAGGTGTTAATGACAGTTAAAAAGGCAAAATAATACCTAAATAAGCAGTATACAGTGGAAAATTACTCAGTTTGAGTATATCAGATTCATTACACAAAGAGCACCATAACCAGACAAAGAAAACATTATCAAACTCCACAAGGAATTAACACTAGGTTATACAAAGAACTCTTCCACTCAGACAGAAAGGGCAGTGAATGGATAACCAGAGATACACACACAGAGTACCAGGAGATACTGCTGTGTACTTAGATTGGCATCAGACAGGAGGTTGGATAATACAGTAGCAACCAGGATGTAGAGCAGTAGGGCCCTTCTGAGACTCAGAAGGGACACATCCCACCTAGGAAGACCCAGCAGTGCCCCATGGTTAGGTCCTGGGCCTGGAAGTCTCCTCTCTAGGGTATATCTCCCAGCAGTGCCTTTGCCCATGTCGATGAAAGGGTGGGGACTTGGGTGCTCAATGCAGCCTTATTTGTGATGGCAAAGAAATGGACCTGTTCATTCATCTCAAATGTAACAGGTAAGGAAAAGGGAGAGCACACCTTAAAGTATATGCAGGAATTGGACACGTTTGCATATTCACAGGGCAGCACTCTCAGTGACCTGATTTCCTTGCATTAGGCTCCCCCATGCAAATGTTCCACCACTTTTGAAAGTCAGCACCCTCATGTCCAAGCTTCCAATGCACAAAACTTTAGGGAACACATTTCAAACCACAGTCCAAACCTTCTCCACAAATACAGACATCCCTGCATCTCGCTTGTACAGTGACACAAACTGGTCGCATTTCTTTATTATTGGTGAGGACTTTTTCCTGTGTTAGTTAGTGGCTCTCGATTTTCCTCTCTTATGAATTATCTGTTCTCACCTCTTAATTCCCCATTTTTAGATGCTAGTTTTATTGAATTTTAAATCTGTCTTTGCCTTTTAAAGATAAGATCTCTGTTCAATAATTTCTTTCTAATTTTGCGGCTTGCCTTTAAATTTTGGTATGATGTTTTCCATATAAGCAGGTGTTATGTTTAATAACCAGATGTCTGCCCAAAACCTCTTGAGCGGATAGGTGGGGCTTTAGGGAGGTGATGGATCCTAGGGCCACAGTCCTCTCAGTGGATTAATCCTTTGGTGAGTTTACAGCTAAATGTGGTCTTGGGAGATGAAGCAGGTTGGAGGAGGTGGGTCACTGGAGCTTGGCCTGGGAGCGTCTATCTCCCTCCTCCTCCCTTGATCTCTCTCTGCTTTCTGCTTCCCTGCCTTGAGCAAACCCCTCTGTCATGCCACCCTGCCTTGGAGTCAGCCGACTGTGGACAGAGACCTCTGCAAACTGTGACACATAATAACCTCCTTCAAGTTGTGGCTGTCGGGTACTTGAGTCCCAGGGGTGTAAAAGTCACTAACACAAAAGGTTTTCTTTCTCTGTAGTCTCAGTTTTCTTTCTGTGACTTCCAACGCTGCTTTCATTTTCAGAACAGCTTCATAACAAGAAATCAGTCATACTCATCTACTTTTCTCCCAAACTTTTAAAAACTTGTCTTAGCAACATAGTCTGTGTGGAATCTGTTTTTGTCTTATTAACTTTGTGACTTATTCTCAAGTAACCAATTTCTCAACAGTATTTATAAAAGAATGTGCAGTGTTCATATCTATTTTCACATTTTTATTCCTTCAGGAGAATTTTTCAATAACTTTTAAGTACAGAAGGTAGTATTTTTAGCTTTGAAGATTTTTGAGGGAAAGGATTAGAATGACATTAAGCGCATAAATTATTGGTTAAATCCATCTATTTGCAACCTTAGTCTGCTTATTTGGAAAAATGGAAGCGTCTCCATGTACTCCAACCTTTCAAGCAATTTTTTTTTTTGTCTTTTTGAGACAGGGTCTCACAATGCAGTTCAGGTTGACCTTGAGCTCACTTTGTAGCCTAAGCTGGTCTCAAGCTCTCAGTGATCCTCCTGCCTCAGCCTCCTGAGCGCTGGGATTACAGGCCCACCTGTGTCTAAAAGCCATTCAAATGTTTTTCCCTCAGTAATGAATTTCATGTTGGGATGACCTTGAAGCCCAATAATCTGCTGTATTTTGTTGCTCACCAGAGGTAAGAAACATGCTTGGCGTTGGAGGGTAGGGCTGGGGAGGAAGTAGGAAAGCACTGGCACTGCTTGATGGGGCAGGACAGGTCCCACTGCAGGCTTCCCCAAATGGGTCAGCCCTCCTCATGAGTTTTGGATCTATACTCATTTGTCCAATGATACCCTCCTCTATGCTTTGGACAGATACTACAACGTTTTGTTGAAGGGTCAGATAGCGGTTGTGCTACCACTACAGGTGCAGCAGAGCAATTTGTGCCAAAATGCTCCCCACCCCCTCAGCTGAAACAAGTAACCTCCTTTTCCCCCTTTCCTCCACGCTGTGGATGAATAACCTGAGTGAGAGCCGCTGCCAAGGTAGCCCCCTGCACATATGAGGAGCCAGTGTCCGCACAAATTCCAATCATCTCAGCCAGTGTAGCCCACTTTATGCGGGCCCTTACAGCCCCTTTACACCATTTATTTGCATTTTGAAAGGCCAGCTGTTCAATTATCAACTTGCTAGCCTCGGTGTGGCTTAAAACCGTCCCACTAGCCTGCAGTAAGCATGCCACAAAATCTTGAGAAGTTTCAACAGAACCCTGGCGAATGGAGGGATGTCTCACCCTTGGAAGGAAGCTCCCTCCAAGCCCTTGTGACATCTGTTTTAATATGTTCCCATCCTTGAAGTTCAAAAGTAAGTTGAATATGTGTGACGGCAAAGGCACCTTCTCCAGTGAGCATGTCCCTTGTAATGGCTACATTTTAAGCGGCATTGTGAGTGGCCTGATCCATGCACATCTCAAAATCATTTCCGTTCCAAAACAAATAATCCCCCAGAGTTAACTTTAGTTAACACTTCAGTTATTCCTTTCCAATCATTTGGGGCCATAATCTGTTGTCCTATCAGTTCTATTAAACCTAAGGTAAAAGGGACTGTAGGGCCATAGGTAGCAGAAGCTTGTTTTAATTCTTTTAAGGTCTTAAAGAGGCCAGCTTCTTGAAGACATAGAACCTGTCCCAGATTGTTGGGAAATTGATCTTCAGTAAAGGGCAGATACATTGAAAACCCTCAACGGACTCCGCATCGATCTGGCTTCTTTTAGTGCCAATTGACGGGAGACAGAAAATGACTCATTCACTGAGAGGGAGAAGTTCCAAACATGATACAGCAAAACTTCTCTGAGCTGGAAAGGGGAAATTGTCACTTGTGACTCAGTTAAGGTTATCAGGGTGGCTGTTATTCTGCCATCTTTTTCTCACTCAGGACTTGATTTTAAAATGGTGTTCCGAGCCAAATCCTTGTGCTCATCCCAACAAATTTACCACTATCAAAGCACTCCCTAGCACAAGTCCATAGAAGTAAAGTAAATTCAGGAATCAAGAATACAACAAACAGTTCCATATACATTTTCACAAATGTGAAAGAAAGTCTTGAGACTGTTTGACCCATATTTTAACACCTGATAAAACCAATACACCAGGGGCTGGGGATTTAGCTCAGTGGCAAAGCGTGTGCCTGGCAAGCACAAGGTTGTGAGTGTGGTTCCCGGTACTGGAGAAAAACCAAAAAAAAAAAAAAAAACAAAAAACCAATACACCCTCTCCCTTTTGCTTATCCTGAGCCTATTTTTCTCTTTGTCCCTAGGGAAACTGCTTTTCTTTTGCCCTGTGTTTTACACCTGATCGTATCACAATCAATACACCTCTGGGATTAATGTTGATGCTAGCAATGCATTTCTCCCCCTTATGCACACATACTGAGAAGTGTCCCCACACCCACTATTTCTTCTTACCCCATTCCCGTGTTCACACCTCATATGCTGCTTGCAGCGCAGCTCAATGTTCCCAGGGGAAAGGACAGTGCGAGGATGGAGAAATAAAGGTAAGAAGAAGAAGGCTGAGGTCAGGTGGAGCCCTCAGGCTGAGAGGAAAATGAGCTGCTCAACCTCCATAGTGCATTCACTTATATTCTCAAGAGGTTGATGTCAATTTTAACCCCTCTAGCAACTGTATGGCTGGGCTGAGCACCTGTCATTCTCAGAGCTGGTACAGCATGTGTCTGTGACCTGCCTCCCACGTGTGATCTATCTCCAGCTTTAGCCACTGCCCACATTCGGCTTCCTGGCGATTCCCAGGTTCAGCCCGGCCCTTTTCAAGAGGTGCCATAGCTGTCACCCAAACAGCTCAAGAGATCCCATGTCCCTTGTTGAATTGCTGACCTCACAGCTGTGGATCTACCTTCCCCCTGGGCCAATCCCAGACCTGCAGTGTGTCAATAGCAGGCTTGAATTTGATTGCAGCCCATGTCTGCACATGGCCCTGTCGCAGGGAAAATGGTGCAGGCTTTGGGCCGAGATCTGTTCTGCACCCTGTGTTCAACATGGCAGCCTGCTGTCCCGGGATCTTGGTCAAGTGAGAGGCAGGGTGGGGAGAAAGGAGCACGTGCACGGTGCGCTACGCTGACAGACGGTCAGGTGTGTGCCAGTCTGCCCTTAGGCTGCACTTGGGTTCGCTAATGGTGAACTTCATGGAGCTTGCATGGGGTTTGGGGACGCAGAGGGCACTGCTTGCATGCACAGGGAGCGCACCCCTCATGGAGACGAGAACCTGCCACAGAACAGCAGGCTGTTGGTGCTGTTGTGCCTGATGAAGAACAGGAAGGGGTGGTCAGCACAGAACAAGGGCACAGAAACCTCACAACACCCAATAACCAAGACTGTGCATGTCACTGCCACAGCCTCCGTGCCTTCCTCATTGACTTCTACCACACTCCTGTGCGTGAAATTGGACACACACAGGTCCCTGTCAGCCAACATCCCAGATAGGTCAGCCTTGTCCCAGTGAAAGGCGTCCACCACGCCCAGACCCTGCAGCATAGAGTCCATGTGGTAGTCTTCCTGCAGTTTAAATCTCGGGAGGAAAACTTCCACTTCGGTCCTCTTCATGTGCTCTGGACTGGTCCAGCTTTGGAATTTCTCAAACGTGAGGGATTTTTCCACCTGAAAGACCGGGAACAGCATTTTGCATTCGGACCTCAGTGCCCATCCACAGCGGTCCCTCCCAGGGGCAGCCCATCCTCCTCTGGCAGGCAGATGGTGCCCACCGTCACACACTGTCCCTGCAGCTGCCTGGGAGCTTGTGAGGTCCCGGCTTGTCCTAGTCCCAACCCCTGAGATGCCACCCCACGTGCAACTTCCTCAGGTAGGACGCGGGGCTGTGCCTCTTTCTCACCACTGCGGACCATTGTCTCTGCCAGGTGGCTGCGCCTTGTGGGGATTTGGGCTTCCCGAGATTTTTGTTTTCTGAAGGAGCTTTAGTTTTGGAGTGGACAAACAATTGCTGGTGAGCAAGGAACAAAGGGCTGTGGCTGTGAGCCACCAGGGCAGGGCCTGAGGCTGTAGGGAAACGGGTCTGTCTTCAGGGAAACAACAGCGTGAAGGCCTCATTGGGCTTTCTAGCTAATCCTGACTAGAAAGAGTTAAAGCTTTGTAGCGATGTCCCTTGGATGCAGTTATAAGGACAAGTAGTGAGAAAAAAAAAAAACCAGACGTAACAACACAGAAAACACAAATGGCATTGGGACTGCCAGCGGAGGAAGGCAGACGGGCAGAGCACAGAGGCCGGGTGCACAGGGCCAGGACAGTGTCCTCCCGCCCAGCACGGTGCACAGGAGCGGGGTGGGGGGCTTTAGGGAGAGCTCCTGCTCAGAGCTTACAGTTTGCTCCCTCACATATGCGCTTCCGCAGGTCTTTTCTTCACTGTCGGGTCGCTGTGCTACTACAACAGATGCACACAAAGCCTACTAACTCGAAGCTGACCTAGAAAGCCCCACCAACCAACCACCTGCTCTTCCCCCAGATAAGGCCCTGCAAGGACAAACAGAGAGAAAGAATTCAAATAAAGCCCGCTAAAAGGAAAGTCCACACAAACAGTGGTGCCTGGTAATCTGAAGAGAGGCCAGAGAGCCGATCAAATAGTGACAAGTTCCAAAGGGGTGAGGGTTACCCAAAGCATCATGAAAGAAGCCAGGGACAAAGGCCCACAGGCTTCGATCTTTCCGGGCCGCCTGTCCTGTCTGGGGCAGCTGCCTATCTTTTGCTTTTTCCTCCTAACAAATGCAGGGTCTTCCTCTCTTCAGCTCTGTCCCTCTAGTTCACTCCTGCTGCTGAGTTTAGCATCCCGGTAGCTGCTCATCCCAGGGGAGCTCATTGCTGGACACAACAAGGTGGGACTCTGACTGGTTTTAGGCAAACAGTGTCTTAGGTAGGAGGGGGACAAAGGGATGGCAACTGATAGGAGTGTGTACCAGTGTGGTTTTTGTGGGAAAGGACACAGCGATGTCACCTCATGCTCCCAGCAGCAAGTCAAATGCACACACAAACAGACGCCTGTCTCACCGTGCTGAGGTCCACGCCTTCGTCCGGGAGCACCACGACCATGCTCAGCTCCTGGCCCTCGTAGGGCAGCTCCAGCACTCGGGCCTGCACCTCGCTCACGTGGGCCAAAGGAAACGTGCCTGACTGGACCATCATCTGCACCGGCCTCTGCTCCTTCTGACGGGGTGAGCAGAGGGGCACGCATGTCACACATTCTCCAAGGAGCAAGAAAATTGCCTAAAGGAGCTGCCTGTATTTGTACTCCAGGTAACCCCTGGGGAAATCTTAACTAGCACTTCTCCCAGGCATGAAAAGCCAAGGAGTGTGGGCAGAGGCAGGAGCAGCCTGGGGAGATGTCCTGGCCAGCAAAATAAAAAGGGAAGCTCTGATTTTTCAGTGTGCTATTGCTTGGCTCTGACATGCCCCAGAGTTCCATGCAAAAAATAAATGAATCATTATATAAAGTTCATCTGATTTGAAAATGGACATATAGTTGAACATACACAAACATCTTAAGTTTTTTCTTCCTTTTTAGTTTTCTGTTTTTAAAAGGATTATAGGACTTGGCAAATTATTTTAACTCTGCTTTAATTGATATTAAAAATGGCAGGACCTAGGTCTTTGCCACTTGCTTTTGATAATAGAAATTTGCAAATACTGAAAAAATTGTAAAAATTTTAAGTTAACAATTCAAATGATTACTTATTTTAATTTAAAAATTACTTGATTAAAGATATGTGTTCTCGCATTTTTCTTGACCCTACCCGGTGACCCACACATACGTCACAATTTCATAACACATTTTTCAATTGCTTCTACCTGGGCAACTTTGATTGAAAGGAAAATCTTCAGTTTCCAGACTGAGGTTGCAGTCGTAGATGCAGGAGAATTTATCAGACAGGAAGAACAGTCATTTATGCAAAAAATTTTAAGCAGCAAATATTCTTTACTCCTATAATTTTGTTCTCCCGAGTTTAAAAGTCAATTCAGAAAAATATTGTTTCCAAGAATTTTTAACCAGGTATGCCCTTGCAAAGTTAAGTTTTCTTTTCCAATTCTTTATCAAAGGATTTTGTTGAAAGCTTCTCCATACCTGGCTTATTTTGAAAGGCATTGTCCTTGTCAGAGACTCTCGAAACTGTTTGTCCCACCTTCCTTTGAAGTACACAGCGTTAATGAGAACCAGCCTGCAGTCCGCTTCAATTGAATTCTTTTCCAACAATTTGTGAATTTTGCCTTTTGAGAAAAGCAGAGACTACATTCAGTGGCTGCTTATAAACACACGATGGACAAACTCTAGAACAGCATCCTGGCAGATTTAAAGGTCATGATTTCAAACTAGCTGAGTTAGGATGTTATGAATTAAACAGTCAGAAACAACGAGGAGTGGTGTTCGTGCACACGGACACTTGGGGAGCATCCACCAAATGGGGGAGGTGACAGGCTTCTGAGTCACTCAAGGAGAGCAGCTGATGAGAAAGAAAGGGCAGCTTGGAGGTCCAGCAAGCAGGACAGGAGAGGTGCGCTGGGTGGGTCTGTGGTCCCTCAGGGGTTAGATGCAGTGTGAGGTCTAAGGCTCCGTGCTCACACCCAGAGCTAACACTGGGCAGGGAGGAGTCAGTGTGAGGGGCGGCCAGCACAGGGCCAAAGGGAAGAAGGGGCTGACGGGCATGTGAGAGGCTTCTGGGAGCCCAGGAAGATCACTGTTGGATCCTCTAAACAGAGGCTGGTTAGGGCTGAGATCTGCTGGTGATGGCTTAGACCTAGAATGTCCCCACAAAGCCTCAGGAGTTCAGAGGCGGGGGTCTGGAAGATGACTGACCATGGGTTGCTCTAGCTGACCAGGTCTGAGCAAGTAAGGCCATGGTGGAGGTGAGTCACTAGGACAGGAGCTGCACCATGTAAAGGCCATTCCTGTCCTGAGCTCTTCCCTTCTGTCTGCTTCCTGGACACCGTGAGGTGAGCAGTGTCCTCCAGGGAGGACTCTCCCCCCACCCACTGCTGCCCTGGGCTCCGCCATCCATGAAGTCATTTCTGAAACTGCGAGCCAAAATGAACCTCTCCCTCCTCAAGCTGTGGGTGTTGGGCCTGGAGGAGCAGTGAGGAGAAAGTGAGACAGTGACAAGGGAAGGTCCGTCCATCCCCCTCCTCCTCACAGAGGGGGGGCACCTGACATGTGAACACTTCAGGCCAGTGAAAGTGTGTTCTGATTAAACGTTAAACTGAAGTCGGGCCTAGGAGTTTCTTCTGCCATTCAGAGCCGACTCTCTGGTCCTGGGAGAAGAGCCAAAGGGAATCTCTGTGATTCACCAAGCAGAACAGCCCTGAGCCCACTGCTGTTCAAAAGCACCAGGAGTCTTGGCTGCGAACTTCACTCTAACCATGGGAAAAGCCTTTAGGGAAGGACAGAATGGGAGAGAATGGGGAAGAAGGTGGGGAGAAAGAGAAGAGGGGGATGGAGTAGGAACAGGGAGGAGGGGACAGAAGAAGAGGCGGGGACAGGGGAGGAGGGGACGAGGAGAGGGGAGGAGCAGAAGGAAGCGCTAATGCTGACCTTCAGTCTTTTTGGACACCCAAGCATTGATGTGTTTCCTGGACCTCTCAGGAGCTTTGGCAAATGGCAGCTGCTTCACCTTGGCTTGGTAGAACTGCAGACAGGACTCCTGAAATGACTGTGGGCAGAGACATGACAGGTAAGACTACAGAGCTGCACGAAAGGTCAGCAAGCTGCCAAGCATTCTGGGTAAGTACTCTTTGATCCTTTGAGAACTTATACATGGCATGCGTCTCTCTTAGAAGATATCACACTGAGTGTAAGAGTTGTCAGATACCAGTTTGTAGGCGGGGATGTGCTGAGTCTGTAATAACTGGACATGAATGAAGGAACTCCAAGACCCTGACATGGGAAATCATGCCAGGCATCCTTAGAGCGCTGGCCTCATTTGAAAAGGCAAGCTTCCCCGTCAGTTCCCAAGTTCTCTGGGGTCCTCCTCCTGGGCTCTGGGCCACCAGGTATTTTAAATCAACTTTCCTGTTTTTGAGATCGAACTTACTGAAAGGAATTTGCAGCTCTTTTCTCCAAAGAGCCCGTTGGCTATGCTGAGGGAGAACGGAGCTCCAGGCCTGTGCACTTGGGTGAGGAGTGACTGGAAGCCCTGGTGGATGCCGTCCTCGGTGTTTAACGCCAGCGCCTGTGAAGAAAGTCAATGCGCATTGTCAGTATTGTCCTCTGGTCTCATAAAGCCTTTAAAAATAATTTTTTTTCAAGTACTCCACAAAATAATCTTTCAAAAGATTTTTTTTTTTTTTAGGCAAATCTACATGCGTAGCCCAGACTAGACTCAATTTCATGGCGATCCTGGTGCCTCAGCCTCCTGAACGCAGGGGCTGCAGGTGGGCACCACCACACCCAGCGAGGCCACTTTATTTCAGCAGTGCATCCTACAGAACAGCCACTGGTGAGGTGACGGAGGGACTGGAGAAGGGCAGGAAACAGGGGTCAAAGGTCCAGTGGCTCTGCCTCCTGCTCTGGATTCAAGGGGAGCAAGGGGAACTGCAAAGAGCCAGAGGCTCAGAATGGAGCTGTTATAAAGCCTGAACGCCCTTCTGGGCAAGATTACACCAGAAATACTGAGATAGCAAGGCACCAATGAATAATTACAGCTGCAAAGTCTTGTGCTCCAAAAGGAGACAGATCTCAGCGACTTATGTTTTAAATAATTCCAGCATCCTTTTTTTTTCTTTACCCCTCTGTGGTGCTGGGGATCAAACACGAGCAGTGCTCACCACAGCACCACCCCAGCCTCAGCTCATTTTCTAAACAAAGTGCCAGGCAAAATTTTGTGTATTTTTCTAGGTTATTATTTGGGGAAGATCCCCTACTTCTCACAACCACCACAAAAAAACAAAAACTTCCTGTCACAGAAGGAGACAGGGAGAGCCCAGCCTACCTGGACAATCTGAGCCGCCGTGCTGCCCTTGGCCCCCAGCAGGACCATGGCCAAGGCTGAGGAGACGCTCAAGGGAGAGTAGAAGACATTGCGCTCAGGGTCATTCTGACCAAGAAGCTTTAAAAGGCGGATGGCAAAGGCGCCATTGGCTTCCGACAGCGTGTTCATGATGCAGTCTAGGGACAAAGACCAAAGGGCCACGTCATGCCACTCACCCAATTGCCCACTACCCGGTCTCCTGGCCACGTGGAAACGATGCTTTTGGTTTTCATCGCAAAGCTTCCAAATATTTTAAACTGAACCAAAAAAGTCCATTTACTGTCACTCTGTTTCCAAAGATATGCACAGATTGTAGGGGAATTAGCCAGCTGTGATGGCGGCGGCAGCCCAGAGCAGCGTGTGAGCCTCAAGGAAACCACAGAACACTGTCATCTGCACAAGGACACAGAGATGCGAGGGCGGGAACTCACACACAGGACACGGCTGGGCCAGGTCACCTCCACTCCTTCCCGTAAGGACCTCCTCCTCCCTTCCCAGGAGCAGGACTGAGTCAGGGATTAAGAGGAGAAGGAGGAAGGGGTAGGGGAGGAGGAGGAAGGGGAGGGAGACCCAGAGTGAGGAGCAGGGAGGACCTCTAGCCTGGCCTCAGCATCCCTCCTGTGCTTATTCTCGCCTCTGTGTGTGGAGAACCCTTGTGTGATTTTCAGCTGTGCACCAGGCTCTGAATGCACAAAGATAGGAGCTGCTGCCTGAGGCAGGCTGAGGTCCAATCCGCTGTGAGGCCAGCGCCTTCTGCTGCAGGGACAGCTCAGGGTCCGACCACCTGAGGGCGCCAGGCTGCTGTCTTTCCTGCCCTGCAGCCTGTGTCCCTGAGGGTGGGCTGCCTGCATCCAGCTCAGAGTTCCTCCCCATCCTGCCCTCCCGCTCTGGAAATCATGTGACCGAAACCCTGAGCTCAGGGAGGGAACACTTGTTTCTCCTGTGTTTGCTTTCACTTTCCCTAAGGAACTGAGGTTTCCCTCAGAAACTGGGGGCGCGCCCCTCCCGGGTCCCAGGCACCTGGGGGACCTCCCTGGCCCCTCCCATCAGCACTCTTTCCCACCACTCCCAAGGACCTGCCTTGCCCCTCCCCCAATCTCTCTCCACCTTCCACTCAGACCCAGGGTCCTGTCTACACCTCAGGCTCCTCCCCAGACCCCTGCTGTCCCTGCCACTGTGGTCCCTATGCCACCTTCCCGTCCTCACCACCATGCAAATCAACGCAGCTCCCCTGCACCATTGCTCTACTTCTGGACTGAACACCGCCCCCGTCCCTGCTCCCGTCGCCCCCTCTGCCCATCCTGGTCCCATCACAGTGGCCTCTGAGCCCGTGGACTCTCTGGCCACTCTGAAGGTCCCTGTGCCCTGGCCGCTGCGCTCCCACCTCACCCCGCATTTCAGGGCCGCCCAGACCACCGCCCTCCCTCCCTTCTTCCTGTCCACAGCCCTCCTTGCTGAGCTGCAGCCTCTGTCAGGGACTGCCCCCTGCCTGCTGGGGTGGGGACAATGACCCAGTCCCACAGGGGACGGGGCTCAGGGGAAAAAAGGCTTCTGTCCCCCAGGGGCATGAGTGCAGGAAAGACAGGGTGGGTAGGGGTGCTGAGGCGGACTGGGACTGGAGCAGAAGCAGGACAGGGGGAACCAGACCTGGGCTGCTGCAGGGAGGGCAAAGCTCCAGCAGGGCAGATCTGGCCAGTGTGCACATGGTGATGGCCAGGACCACCCCACTGAGCAAGGCCCCCCGAGCTCCTCAGCTCCAGAGCTGCAGCTGCAGGCACCACCTGCGTGGCACCACGATCTCTCCATACCCAGCTCCTTCCCCTGGGCCAGAACCTAGTCAGTTCCCACCCAACCCGCCACACCCAGTTCTCACCTTCAGACAGCACACCACCCCACTGGAGCCTGGACCCCACCGGATTAATAGCAGGACCCCAGGCAGCCGCGCAGGGCGGGCCGGACACAGAGCTTTTGTGGCCCAGGCCATGTGGGCGTTTCCGGCAGCAGGGGCAGGGGCTTTCCAGCCCTGGCCGTTTTCCTGTTACCACCTCCCAGCCAGGGCTTTTCCCTCTGGTCCACAGGGACCCCAGTGGGTCAGAGGAGGTGCTGATGTCCTTATTGCAACAGAGGACTCCAAATCCTGCTCTGGAAAGAATTAAATTGTGAAAGTGAAAGTGACAACAGATCAGGGAGACAGTAAAGAACCAGAACCAGGGGCGCGGGCGTGCTTGGTAGCCTAGCACTGGGAGAGGTTGAGGCAGAAGGTTGAGCCTTCTGGCCCAGCTAGAGCAACGTAGGGAGAACCTGTATCAAAAGTTTTTATAAAGGGGGGCTGAGGGAGTAGGAAGGTCCTAGGTTCAATCCCCACTACAGCCCCTACCAAAACCCAAAAAAACAGAAACCAGAGGAGAGAAGACAGCTAGGAGCCCGGACTCTCCTCGTTCCAGGAAGCCAAAGGGGAATGAGAAGCTCAGACTTCCCTGGGGAGGTCGGTCCCCTTTTACACGAAGGAGCCCTAGAGATGAATTCCAAGTGTTTGCCCAGCGTGTCCCCCACTCACTTGGGCTGGTTCTTCCCCAGGACCCACACAGAGCCCAGGTCCCAGCTCCTAGGAGCCCAGCCCTCCTCCTACCCAGGTCTGGGCCGGCGCGCTGCTGTGTGTGTCCTGTTCTTCCAGCCCCGGGCAGACACTGAGAGGAACCGGCCCAGGACAGTGACTTTATCCTCAGTCAGTGGACACATGGCAGGGGCCCCTCCACAGCAAGCTCTCAGAGGCACCAGAGACCTGCAAGGTCACCACCCTCTGTGTGCCAGCATAGTCCTCAGACCCAAGGCCAGTGGAAAAGTCTCTGAAGACCTCCAGAGAAGCACAGGCCACGGGAAGCTTTCTGGGCAGCAGGGAGCTTTTCCCAAGGCTTCTCCACAGTTTGAAGTATCTCCAGAAGCCTAGAATCTCCTGACGCCTGACTTGGGGTTTGGCCTGCTGGGGTGCCGTCAAGGGAAGGACTCTTTCTCTAAAGCATGATCCACTACCTCATTTGTATGCAATTTGCATGTAGCCCATTTTGGAGAAATCAGATGCGTTATTTCCTCTGAAAACACCGGCGCACAGAAGTTCCCATTATTTATCCCTCTTTCAGTTTCACACAGTCATGCACTACAAATTCCCAGTTTACAGAAAGTTCATGTAAAGAACTGCATTTCCATTTTAAGTATAATTTAACCAAAATTTAAAATATAACAAAAGATGGGACCCTTTGCCCATATGTGGGAAAGGCTTAGAGGCTGACCTTACCCATCCAGGTGCAGTTTTTTCATCACACATTAGTGCTTTGGTCTAGGGAGATTAACCCAGTGCTTCCATTGCTCCCAATAAGTACAGTGCGAGACTCCCCATCCTCACAGCACACCTGTGTGCCCTCGGCTAGCTTGGCCTGACACAGGAGTCCCCGTGGCAGGTATCTATTGGCCTGAAAGTTTGAGAAGACCTCACCTTTGCAACACAGAGAAAGTGTTCCCTGTATCTCCATGCGTTTGGCTTCCATGAGAACAGTGGCCATGGCAGAGGAGAGGTTCAGGGACCAGAAAACGCCTTTCACAAGTAGCCCGCTTCCCTTAACATTCTTTTTGGTTTTCTTTATATCTTCTTTTTTTTCTTCTTCTTTCTTTCTCTTTGTGTGTGTGTGTGTGTGTGTGTGTGTGTGTGTGTGTGTTCATACTGAAGATGAAACCCTGGGACTTCACATTGACCTAGATCTCCAGCCCCTTTTGATTTCTTATTTTAAAACAGGGTGTCACCAAACTGCTAAATTGCCCAGGCTGACCTCCAACATGCAATCCTCCTGCCTCAGCCTCTAAGAGCACTGGGATTGCACGTGCACCACCTCGCCCAGCTTCCTAACATTCCTAATAAGCTGCCCACAAAGTGCGACGTGCACAGCACTCACCCAGCATGGCAGGCCTGGATGGAAGGCCCATCGGCCAAGCCCTCCTGTGGTCATGTGGTCACCACCACTCCTGTCAGGGGACAGAGGCAGGTCACAAGTACAGTGCCGCACCCCACCATGCCCACCACCCAATCCCTGTGCTGCTTCACGGGGTGAAGAAACTTGCGGATGTGGTCCAAAGAGGTGGGATCACAAGGGAGCATCCTGATGTGCAGGCGGGCTCAGAGTGATCACTTCCTTTCCTGCCCTCCCTGCTGCTTTTCTTCCCCTTACCCTCCCCCCCCCAGAGTCCCATTTCCCTGCTATTCCCCGCCCTTCCTGAGTGACCTCAGCTCTATCCAGGCTGCAGTCCTCACTGTGCTGCTGGTCCCAGTCTGTTATAGGCATTTCTGTCTCTGTCTTCCGGGCATCCAGGAACCTAGACCCAGCCCCTTCCCTGCCTCTGACACTGAACAATCCAAACTCCTGTTGCTTTGCTCATCCAGTTTCCTCATCCCACCTCATCCTCCTGGCCTCCATGCCTTGCAGTCTCCCTGCTTTCTCCTCCCCACCGCCTGTGGCTGCCTGTTTGCCGCCGTGAAGTCTGGATCATTCTCCAGATCTGCCTTGGCCCACCCAGTCTGAAGCCCTTCGCTGCATCCTCTTATCAGACCAGCAGGTCCAAACTCTCCGGGCCGAGGGGAGCATTGTCCTGTCTTTGCTGCATCTTCTTTCCTTTAGAGCCCAGGAAGCTATGTGCACGCCTCCCTGCCGACCCCGCAGGCACTGGGCACCCTGGCTTGTCTGTGAGACTCCAGCTCAGACAATGCTTCCTTTGGGAAGCTCTTCCGAACCTCTCCATGTAGTGTGTGGTGCTTTTCTGTTAAAAAATATCCTGTGAACAGTTATTCTGGACCCGAAACTCCATGAAGTTGGGATCTTTGCTTATATCTAGTCTTAGGATCGGTCCCAGGTGGGGCCCTTCTGTGGGCAGCTATTGCCAGAGATCACTCCCTCCACAGTCCTGGGATGGGATTTACTCCTCTTTGCATTTTGGAAACCAGCCCCGCAGTGGCCTGGGAATCACTGTGCCCAGGCTTGGCTGCTCACCTGCCAGAAACTTCAATGTCCCCTCCCCAAGCGTCACCAACTTCTCCTTGATGGTCTGACCAGGATCCAGACTTTGGTTCCCACCTGCTCCTCCTGCCCCCTAGCAGTGGGCAAAGCCAGATCAACAAGTGCAAGATGTGTTCAGCCCTCTGTCCTCCCCTCATGGCCTCCAGCAGGTGTTAGGGAGGCTGATGCTAGGGTCTGGGTCAGAGACGTCCCCCAAAGGTGACTCTGTTGCAACTGTAGCACTACTGAGAGGAGATGGAGCACTGGGAGATCAGTCCCGGGAGAAGGAAGGTGGGGACCCACTGGGACCTACGTCTGAGGGAGAGATTGCAGTTTATGGTGTTCTCCTGAGATTACTTAATAGATGCAAATATGTGCTCCCCTCATGCCTTCTCATGGCCAGGAAGGTTTGCCAGAAATCTCCAGGGAGGAGTGGGATGGGAGACCCATGGCATGGCCATTGCTGTCTAATATGGTCAGTTGTTTGTTGATTGTAAAGTGTGGAAACCCTCTGAAGGTTAACAATGACTCAATCTCCAGTGCTTCCCCAGTGCCTTCTTTACATAAAGAGCAAAGCACCCTTTCCCTCGTGTTCAGGCCACTGGGAGCCTTTGCACAGTTCTGCTCTCCCCCTGCAGACCCTACTTCTTTTCCTCTTCCATAAACGCACACTTTTGCTGCTCTCTCCATGTGTCTTCTCTGGTTCACTGTTGGGGACCCCAAGATCCTAGAAAGAAGCCCCGTGGGACTCTCCATCGGGGAACACGCATATGAGCCCCAACCGGTCTCTGCAGTGTGCCTGTAAAATCTGCACACTCTCACAAACGATCCCGTCTGCACTGCCTTCCACACTGAAAGACAGAAATATCAACATGGTGTCCACCAGCTGCAAGCTACATCTGGAGGATGACCTTGGCCCATCTTGAAGTCACTGTCTGAGAAAACCCAAGGCTTCCAGAAGAATTTGCTCTTGGTTCCAGCCCACACTGCTCCTACAGCCCTGACTTTCCTTTGCAGAATATTTTCGAAAATGGGCTTACCATGGTAAATACTTCTGTCCCTTGAGATAGATATGGATCGCTTATGACCTGGGAGTGCTGTTCTGAGGCACGTGAAAGTCATTCCTTTGGCATGGGGCCATCAGGAAGGACAGGCCTCTGTCTCCCAATCTCTGGGAGGACGCACCCCGAACTGGGATAGTCGCACACTGCGTGTCCCTGCCTCTCCCCTCTCCCTGGCCTCTTTCCTTTCCCTCCTTCTAGCCTGAACAGTCTTGTCTGTGGGGTGCAGTTCATGCTGGCTCCTCCTCACTTTGCAATAGTATATTATTGATAAAACCTCTCTTATCGCCTTTACTGGCCTCTGGTTTGGTTTGTCTTTGACAGAGATCAGCCCAAGTGTCAGTTCAAGAGCTGCGGGTGATGAAGCAAAGCTGGAGGTTAACCCGGTAAATGTGGACCCGTGGTCAGTGACACCTCTGTATTCCTCCTGCCTTGAATGCAATCTTCTTTCTGATCCTGGATCATGACAGCTGCCTTCTGAGAAATGCCCTTCAGAATGCAGCCAGGAACCCACCCTTCAACACAGATTCCTTACAATAATTTGGGGGTGCCCGCTAGACCACAAGAGACAAACACACTCTGTGATGATTCATTTTGTGCGTTAACCTGACTGCGTCATTACACCCAGATATCTTGCCAAGCACCAGCCTAGATACTAACATTAAGGTATTTTCACATATGGTTAACATTTACTACAGCAGATTACCTTCCATAATGTGGGTGGTCATCAACCAATGTGCTGAAGATCTTAGGAGGTGAAGGAGGCGGTCCACAATCACATGACCGGGTATGACTCAACTCTAAAAGGAAGTGAGCTCTTCAGCCAGGACAACCTCAACACAAACTACAGAGTCATAAAAAGTGTTAGGGGAATGGCGGAGTGTGGCAACGCCTGGAGACAGAGGCTGTGGGAAAGAACAGGTTGTATTCATCTGCCTATATGCAGGCTGATGTCAGAATGGTATCAATAGCTCTCTGGAGGGAAACTGAATATATAGATGGTTTTTTGGGGTGGGTGTGGGATTTCAAAGGGTCTCAAAGAATCCAGGTGGGATGCTTGTCACAAACTGCAGAGGCAATCAGCCCGGGTATGAAGATAGAAGTGGTAGCGGGAAGATTTTATGTCCAGGCCTGAATGTCTTCCTTGCTGACTTCTTGTTTGCAGAGAGCAAACCATTGTCGGCAGTGGAGAGGCTCTTGTTTGGAGTGGGCAGCCCAGGGTGCTCTCAGTTCACTCTCAGGCCAGTCCTGATAAAAGAAAGACCCATGGTTGCCAGGGAGTGTGGGTTGGGGAAGAGTGCAGAGCTGCCCAGGGCAGTGAAACTATTCTGAGTGACACTACACTGAGGGACACACGCCACTATACTGTTGCCCAAAATCCACAGGATGCCACCGCCACAGAAACAAGAGGCTGGCTGCTGAAGGCATGGCTGGCAGGCAGCTGGCACACAGATGCTATTTGCCATATTGTAATGGCAGTTGTGGGCAGGCTGGATGGAACTGGACTTTGGGGGAAAGTGACAAGTCTACAGCTGCCTGAGGTTGTGGCCATTGTGATTACAGCAGTGGACATTGCCTGGGACAACCTGAGCCCATGGCAAGAGATGCTGCATGTGAGAACCTGGAAGGGAAGTGTCTTCCTCCTAGCAGTGTCTTGCAACGCCCTCTATAGGCAACGCCCTACATTGTGCCGGAGGCTAAAGTAACCTTGGGATCCAACTCCAGGACTCCAGGCAGTGAACAGAAGGTTGGATTTAGAGGCGAGAGACAAGAAATTGGAAACTGACACAACCGTGCATGGAGTCCTCATTGGAACTTGTGGCTTAAAATGAACGGCAACCTGGGAAACTTGCCCGCT